CCCCAAAACCCCAAAACCCCAAAACCCCATTTTTTGGGCTATTAGTTGAATGTTTTTAGAGAGGAGAAATTTAGAGTTTCTTTCTCTTTGATGAGAACTTGTTCATATTGTGGAGTTTTGATGTAGCTTCGTCATCTAATTTAGATCTGTATCTTTTGCCTCCAACATTGGGTTTCTTATAGCTTATTTTATTATTCTTTGTCATAGATGCAGAGTCTTCTTTGTTCAGAGTGCCATCTTCCCTCATAATTTTCTCCATAAAAGGAGGAGAAGTTCCTACCATACTTTGCATTTCAGGCTCTTTCTCTTTGTCCATTTCTCCAAGCTTTTGCAATTCTTCCTTATCATTTTGAACCTGTAGCATACCATAGACACCTTTTATTTTCCTGAGGTTGTCTTTAACTTCTTTTGCAGCAGAAAGATTGTTAGTGTTGTTACCCCAATACTTTCTGGTACACTTCATGTAAGCTTGCGCGTGCCTAAAATCGCCTCTATTGGCTATTTTAGCAGCCTGTTGGACACAGTTAATCCCAAGGAGTTCAGAATCTGCCTCTGCTTCAACCTCTTTCTTATCGGTACTTATCTCTTGCTGATGCGAATTGACTCTAATACATTTCATTCCATCTAGTTTTGTGTAAAATATTTGGGTCTGGAAAGGCAGATGGGTCAATTTTTCGAAGTCAAAATCTACATTGCTTTCCAGTTCCTGTTTGCTCTTTATCTTATATTCAAAGGTAATCTCAGACTCAGCAGTCACATTTCCGTAAGACTTTGTGAAGATGTTCTTCATTTGGTTCAGTTGACTCTCATCTTCATTTCTGAACTCGAGTCCTTTGTTCAAGATTACCTTCATCTTGACGTCTGTTGCTATTATGGGAGATGAGAGAATATTTGCAAAATTTTCAGTTAATTTATCAGCCTCAACCCTTTGAATGTCTCCCCCAGTCTTCTCAGAGATGCATCTGAGAGTTTCAAGGTCTCATTCTTCACCAGCGATGCTGATGATGTTAACTGTGACTCCTTTGGAGTGAGCATAGTCTGCAACTTTTGTATAAAACTCTAGTGCATCTTCTTGAGCTTTACCTTCGATTGAACCAAGACCAACGTTGGAAAGGCCATCAGTGCAAAGCACTACGCTGCTTCCTGCTGATCCTTGAGATGCCATAGCTACTGAGGTCAGCAAAGCAGGGCCAAGAGCTGTTGGTCCTGACTCTTCAAGTTCATATAGTTTGCCATTTATCTTATCGCTAACTTCTCTAATGGGTTTCTGTAAATGAGTCTCTGTTGATTCTATCCCATTCTGTAGCAGTAAATCATAATTTTGAAGTTTGTCTCCAGAAATAGTGAGCGGAGCATCACTGCAGTCTCCATGGATGTTCACATCATTTGAGAATGAGACAAGACCAACTTTGATATCTGGAGATTTCTCAGCCATTTCGATAATTTGAGCTTCGATAGCAGCTTGAACTCATTGAAGTCTTGAAATATACGTATGATTTCTTTTACCGTGATAAAACTGATCTGAGCCATCAGAGAATTTCATTAACTCTTGAAGTTCTTTGAGTTTATCCCCTTTTATTTTGAGTTTTCCTTCGACAGGAGTGGTGACGCACATAGAGCCAGATACATCCAGACAGAAGATGACTGAATTAGTATCATTGTCCTTCCTCATCTTATCCTCATCCATACCAAGGACATAATGAACATATTCATTAGTTGGAATCTCTTCTTTTTCAATCATAACTTTGTTCTTTTGGTAACAGAATTCGCATATCCAAGTTTGCTCATCTAAGGGGTCTTGATTTTGGTCTATCTCTTGTTCCTCTTGAGAAGGAGGTTTTCTCTGGAGACTTTCTTCAACCGGAACTTCCTTCTCTTCTTCGTTGTCACATTTATCCTCCAATTTCGAGTACTTGTTGAAAACGCTTTTGCAATTCTGACAGAAAACTGGTTCCCCTGCTGCTAACTGTGCTTCTTCGAGGATGACATCGAAACTTTCGGATACGATGTTCGTGTTAATTTCTTCACGAAATTTACGATTGTTCTTGACAGCTCTACTATACTTCTTCTTCCTGAGGGCCTTTGTGGGGCAGTTCATTCCTGTGGATGCTTCCATTTTGCAGTCTTTAAGGTCTCTCAATCTGACTACTTGCTGTATGAATGTCAGTGATGGCCAGAAATGAGTAGAATTAAGACAACTGAGGGTTCTTACCTGCTTTTCTTCCTCCTCTTCTTCGCTGTCACTCATTTCTTCATCTAGCGATTCTGAGTTCATAGAGATTGCATCATCGTTTTCTGCTGATTCTAAGTAAAGATTAGATTTGAGTTGGAAAATTAGGAAGTAAAGGTTTAAAATTGATTCTTTTTAGTTTTAGGTATTCATCAATGCGATTAGGTTACTTACCTTCTTTATCTGTCTCATTCTTATTTTTTTTGTTCCCTATAATGTCTAATTAATCACATTCAAATTATGGGAGGTCTAAGCCGCTAAAGTGTCAGGATTAACACCTGTGCTCTAGACTCAAGCAAGAGTGCAATGGTGTCATACCTTTATGTAAGGGAAAGTATCCCTTTCTGCATGCAAATCTAGCCATTTGGAACGATAGAAGTGGTATTTTTAAGTTAATTAATTATTAATCAAAAATTTCAAACACTTAAGTAGTTTCAGGGGTTTTGGGGTTTTGGGGTTTTGGGGTTTTGGGGTTTTGGGGTTTTGGGG